GAGAGAGAGAGAGAGAGAGAGAGAGAGAGAGAGAGAGAGAGAGAGAGAGAGAGAGAGAGAGAGAGAGAGAGAGAGAGAGAAGGTACATATTTAGGCATAGGTCAACAGGGGGCAAGGTTCACAGCCACATGAGAGAGGGAGAGAGAGGGAGAGAGGGAGAGAGAGGGAGAGAGGGAGAGAGGGAGAGAGGGAGAGAGAGGGAGAGGAAAGGCTAGCAACCTGGAGGATTAGAAGAGCAGGAGGGGAGAGGATACCAGGGACCAAAACAGGGAAGAGAAATGCATGGGGCCATGCTAATGGATGTTGCAAACAACAGGGACCCTTTCTTTTCCAGAATCTGAGCATACACTCTTGCCGGATTGGGAGGGGGTGAGAGGGTTGCCAATTAAGTTTGGGGGGGGGGGAGGAGAAGTCTATATGGCCCAGCGATGGAGAGTGGTTTGCAGCAGAGTCTTGACGACCCATTCCTTGAGAGTAGGCGGGGCAGAACCAAGTGCGTCCAGCACAGTAAGACGAGGCTCAGCAAAGACAGCTTAGCAGAGCTGCAGTGGAGATAAGGATAACATCAAGAGCAAGAGCAAAATGATGGCAGCAACAATTGTACTCCAAGCCCCAGGATCTGGCCATACCAACTTCGTGTTTAGAAAACATGAGCCCGGCCATTTTTAAGACCAGGATCATGCTGTCTAAGCACAGAGATAGCGCCAGTACAGCCCAGTCCTAAGCGACATGAGAACACCTACCGTCTTCCCCCGAACAGACAGTACGGTCATTATCGCTGTAATAGGGGCAACTTTCAGTCCAGATGCATTGATATTGCCCTTACACTTTATTCACGGGTCAATGGTTGTCTGATATCAAAGGGCAGTGAGAAAAGGTGGGACTGCGGCAAGTGGGAGGGAGCGCCTCGTTGGGCACGGGGCAGGAGGGGACGTAGGGAGGTCGAAAGGGAGGCACGGGGGGAGGGGGATAAGGGACTGGACAGGGAGGCAAGGGGGGTTTGGGGGCTGGATGGGGAGGCAACTGGGGCATGTGGGAGGGAGAGATCCGGTGGGCACGTGGCAGGAGGAGCGGTAGAGGGGTGAAAAGGGAGGGCCCGGGGTGGGAGAGGTGGGGTTGGTTGGTAAGGGGCTGGAAACGGAGGCAAGGGGGTTAGGGTGCTGGAAAGGGGGGAGGCGAGGGTGGTTAGGGGGCTGGAATGGGAGGCAAGGGAGGAAAGGATGGGGGATGGACGTGGGAGTCAATTGTCGCCATGACAGATCTTAGTACTAGCTACGGACTAAAGACCGTTAATCCTCTGCTAGTATCACCCTCCGTAGTCTGGAGGGTTCAGCGGAAAAGAATTGCAGGCATATAAATAGGCATTTAATTTGATAACAAATGATTCAAAGGAACATCTCCTGGAAGATTAACCTGCATATATGAAATATCCAATCCGAAATTCAAAACGCAAAATTGAAATAAAATAAAAATAAAAATGCAAAACTCAAAATTCGAATGAAACTTTTGAAAATTCCAAAACGTGAAATTAAATTTAAAAAAACAACGCAGAAACTCGAAATTCGAATGAAACTTTTGAAAATTCCAAAACGTGAAATTAATTTAAAAAAACAACGCAGAAACTCGAAATTCGAATGAAACTTTCGAAAATTCCAAAACGTGAAATTAATTAAAAAAAAAAAACGAAGAACTCAAAATTCGAATGAAACTTTTGAAAATTCCAAAACGTGAAATTAAATTTAAAAAAAAACGAAGTTTAAATTCAACCGAGAACTTAAAAGTTCATAACTCAGAAAACTGAAAATTTCAAACGAAGTTGTTAAATATTGTTTCTCCAAAATTTAAAACTCGAAATTCAGAAATTCAAAACTTCATATCTCAAGAATTCAGAATTCAAAAATTCCAAACAAAAAATCAAAAAATTCAGAATCCAAATCCATTCCGTATCAGCCGTTTATGGATCAGTCCGAATCCACTTGGCACTTCGTCCACTTGTCTGTCCCATCCAGTACCATGAAAAGCCGGCTCGATGATCGGCTCAACGAAACTTCGCAGACTTTTCTGTCCCATTCAGTTCCATGAGCAGCCGTTACAATGATGGGCTCAACGCAAAAAAAAAAAAAAAAAAAAAAAAA